CATAACATTTTAAATGATGTAAATACCTAAAGTTTCCAAAATTATTTAACCTCCAAAGTAAATAGTCTGCCATAATTAAATATCATCAGATTAAGCATTGTCATAATTTATGATATTATGATATCATCATTATTTACAATTCGTCCAAATTTCATTTTTGATAAAGCTATAAATTGGTTTCCAGGTCATATGGCCAAAGGATTAAGAGTAATTTCAGAAAGATTATCAAGTATAGATGTAATTGTTGAAGTAAGGGATGCTAGGATATCCTTTTAGATATATATCGATAAGATGTTGATGAATTAATTCATAATTAATTTATGAGAACAAATTAATGCCTTAACATAGAAATAAATTTTAAAACCTTAATACATTCCTTTAGCTTCTATAAACAATAAGTTTGAAGATATAGCAAAGTTAAAAGAGCGAATTATAGTTTATAATAAAGCGGATTTAGCTGATGAAAATGATCAAACGGTAATTTTACGTATAATCTATCTTATTATAAATAAATAGAAAAATAAGAGTTCATTCAAATACATTGGTCCGTTTTTTTTTCGAATAATCTTTTTATAAAGGCTATAATAGATGCATTTAGAGAATATCGTAAACAGCGCGTGATCTTTACAGATGCAAATGCGGATAAGAATGTAAAGATGATAATCGACATTGCAGCAAGTATTGTATTTATATCATTATTATTTAAGTATTAAATAACATTTATATAATTTGCAATTTTGTGAATTGAAAATCTCTTGCTATTAGATAAAGCAATAAAAGAACCAGAAAGATATCCATATGTCACTGTAATGGTAGTTGGTATGCCAAACGTTGGAAAATCATCTTTGATTAATTCTATGAGAAGGCTCGGTGTACATAAAGGTAATGAGTTTCTTTTTAGATCTTAATTTAAAATTTAATCGGCTAAAAATATTAAATATTCATCATATTAGGAAAGGCAGCAAAGACTGGCGCTTTACCGGGTGTGACAAGATCTGTTTCCGCTACATCAATTAAAGTATCGGAAGACCCAACTGTTTATTTGATCGATACTCCTGGTATATTTTATTGCTTATTTTCATCATTGTCTAATTTTAGATTAACTAATTATAATGGTTAATTTGTAGGCGTTATGATACCACACATTACTGATCCTGTAGCTTCTCTAAAGGTTGCGTTGACAGGTATGAGTTTTCATTATAAATCTTTTTTATTTAGTTTTTGAACATTATAACTTTATCTTTCTAATAGGTGGTATTAGGGATCATTTATCTGATGAAGAAATTATGGCAGACTATTTACTTTGGAGGTTAAATAATTTTGGAAACTTTAGGTATTTACATCATTTAAAATGTTATG